GGCTGAAAACCTATTTTTGAAGTTGAGGGTTTTTTCAGATGATATCCAGATTTGGATTACTAAGGTGCATCTTGTAGAGCTCGTGATACTGATCAATAAATGTTGCTATATCAGGTACTTCTGATGAGGAATGGATGAGTTATTGACCTGTAAAGTTGAGGTTTTTGTATGTAAAAGTTGTTACATGTACACATGTAAGTGTAAAATTTGAAGTTCACACCTATTTTTTATTCCTCTTATACCTTTCTTTGCACACCTCCGTTACTAATGACTTAAAGCTTGTACATTATGTAATCCACGCTTCGGCATTGAATGAGCTATCTACCATCTAATCCTGACGTCATTTGACATATGTAATAAGCTGAAAGCCTTCATTTTTGACAAAATTCACCCCTTTTTACCACTTTACACAGCTATTGCTCCTACTTTCTTGCTTCTGTAATATTACATCATCATCTATAACCTGAAAACTCCCGGAAAAACTACATATGTAAACTACCTGTAAAACCCTTGTTGACCAACTTCAAAAAAGTACTGTTGTCTTGATAATTTGTATTCCTCCTTATAAACCATCATGATTGAATTTGTTACTGAATAATATAATGCTGTGCTTTTCATATTCTAACCTCTCAATACCCATAAACCTAATATTAATACCCTAAAAACCATTTCCAATCCTATATACCTATGTTTTTTAATTTTGCTTATGTTTTTTGTTTCTTTTCTTTTCCCAATCTTTTGTTAAAGTTAATGTACTGATAGTAATAATTTGTTTGAATTAAATGTCCTCATAATAACATAATGTGCAATGTATTAGCCTAAAAGACCTTATATTGATCAGATTCCATCAATTTTGAGTTTTCCTTTATGCTGAGATTTTCTGATAACTTAGTAAACAACCAATGATTCATTTTCTTTGATTGATCCCATAGAATGATCACCACACCGGTGAGTGAATTGACAAATTATTCACTCACCAATTGAATGAAATCAGTTGATCCAAATCAAAGTGAGTGAACCCACTGATTTGAATTGATCAGATCAATCAAATTTTGTTTGATTGATCCAAATCAGATGAAAGGGAGGTTTCAATTTGTGATTGACTGATCTAAATAACAAAATGTGAGAATTCACTCCCATCAATCGGGTATCTTCATGCCGCAAGTATTTCCCTGTAGTGGTGGTTTACCTGTTGGAATACTCCTCATTTTTATCTTTTCTTTGTTCCTGTTTCTTTTGCAAATGTCAATTTGATGTTTCACTTTTCATGACTTTTCATTTGTTTATGCTTTTAGTCCCTGATTGACTTTTTATATACGCAACATTTTGCTTCTTTTTGTTCTCCACTCCTTACTCATCCGTTTATTTTGCAAATGTCAAATTGTCTTTCTTGACTTGTGGCAACTTTTTATTTATTTTTGCTTTTACTCCCTGATCATCTTTTTATATACAAGACATTTTGCTTTTTTTGTTGTTACTCATTAGTCATCCTTTGTGTCTAGCTCCACAAGCCTTTTTAAAAGCATTCAATGCTTTGGCTTTGTTGTTTTTGTTCATTGTCAATTTCAAGTGTCTCCTTACCACAATTTGCCGCTTAATCAGGTGCCTTTTGTAGATACTCATGCTTCTCGCCCCTTTTCAAAACTTTAACCATTTGTCTCTTTGCATTTTCATTGTTGCCTTTCAACTTTTGCTGTGCAATCAGGCCGTTGCAAAACCTGCCTGCGTCCGTTTGGGCGGTCTCTGTTGTTTGACTCTTTGCGTATAAAATGTCTTTGTCATTGTTGCATCTTTTGTCCCATTGTATTACCTGCTCCTTATTACAACATTGTCTACCCATTTTTCTTGAACATTTTTTTAATCGGCCACCCTCAATTCACCCTGCCAATAACTCTATTCTGAAATTATCCTCCGCAATCATTCCTAATCACTATCCAAATGTCGATCTCTACCAATAAAGTCAAAACCAGATCTTTGAATGTTTGCAGTCCCTTGGGTACTGTTTCTCAACTTTAATCAAATTGATCAGAGGACAGGAAAGATCAAGTAGAATAGTGCCTTGAGGTATAACTTGTTTGTATTATAATTGACGAATGTCAGCTGAGATTTGAATTGGTCTGCTCGATGGGTCTGCTCGATGATGTGGTGAAAAGAGTTTCTTATTGTAAATAGACAGAAACAATGGTAACAATTAACATGTATAATAGCACACTATTCCCCTGTTGCGCGCATGCGTGCATAGTCTCTAGTATCAAAAAAACCATTGAGGTGGTATTTCAAACTCAAAAGTTATCTAAATCAATTGATCTACTCCAACCCATTATGTCCCAGGTACAACAATAAAAGGACTTATTTGACAATTTAAAAAACATCAGTCCCATGTAAGCCTAAACTGATCTATTCAAATATTTGGATCTACTACTGATTGGAGTACAACCTGGTTGAGGTGATCTTGGCAGAATTGGAGTATGAGCTGTTGTATAGTTGAATCTTCAGTATCTGATGATGAATTTGAGGATTGTGCAATTGTTGCATGGTTATCATGCGGAAGTTGCATCTTGAGTTGTGAAGGCATGACTCAGGGATGGAACCAAGAGGATAGTTCACTGCAGAAGTTGCTATCATTTTGAGTTGAAGGATAGGCTTGACAATGAGAGGGGGTTTTGATGTGAAGTCAATGACAGATGAGAATTATAAGCACAGGAACTTCAAAGTGAGGGCTACATATCAGTTTTTTCCCCACTAAAAAAACAAGTATTCTAGGTTTTGGAAAAGGAAGAATCTACCTTTCAACTTCGAGTCCCCTTAATATTAAAACCCATACTCAAACCTAATTTGTTTCAACTCAAACCTGAGTCATCACTGTGTCAAAATTTAAATAAGATTGCTGATGCACAAACATCATTTTCTTCTCATCAGTTCACTGAGGAATAAAGTGGTGTAATATAGTTGTTTTTCTTTCACCTTCCTAGGTGTGATTCTTTTTGGTGTTCAGACCCACAAAGACTGTTGCACCAACCCTAACCCAAAAACACAGTTCAACCCCAAGACCAGGACTGGGTTGAGCAGGTCTCAGCCAGGCTGGAGGCAAAATTTGGCCAGCCCATACCACCCTGCTTGTGTGGAAACAGGGCACATTTTTAGTGAAATCATCTTCCAACTACACAAGAAATCAGTTCTTCAAATACATGAAGTTGAAAATTCCATCCACTGCTTTTATCAAGGAAATATCTAATGCTTGTGTGTAAAGATAGTCAAAGAATTACACAATTCCCCTTGATTTTGTATGACTTTGTGTAAATCTCATGGCTGATTGGTGTTTTTTCAAAACTCTTGTTGAGCTTGTGTTCCTGGGCTTGGCCAACCCAGTCTTGGATTATGCCAGCCCCAGGCAAGCTCAGAAATCTTGAGCCAGAACTTCAACCAGGTCAATTGGTGCATTAGTAAAGACTGACACCTGTTTACTGGCATTGTGAGGTGTGATTCTTGTTTTGTCTTCAGTTTTCAGAGCCGTAGAGACTGATGCCTGTTTACTGGCATCATAATTAGTTGCCATCCTGTCAAGGTGAGTTTCTCCAGGTTCTTGCATCCTATGCTATTCTAAAGCTTTTCTCTACTTCTAATTAGTCCAAGTAGCTTAGAAGCACTACTCTATAACTTACAAGGGCTTAAAGAGGACTATAAAACCATGAGATCAAACACAATAGTGGGGTTCAAGTTGGCCAAAAAGTGTCTAACATTTTATGCTTTTTGCCCTCCCAGCCCTAAAGAATACATTTTTTGGAAAATAAAATGCTAGTATTGTGCTTATCAGGTGGAGCTTTCTGATAGTGTTTTCAAAATCTCAAAATTTAAGTAGAATTTTGATGTAGGGACAGTTGTAATTTAGGCATTTTTTCAACTTGAACCCTCCTAATAGAATCACCTCACTCAATATTCTTGGCAAAGGATTAAGTAAGTGATGATCTGGAATCATGGAATTATGTCAAGTTGGTTTTTCTACCAAATTGGGAAAAGCAGGGGTTTATGTATCCAGAACCTATGCCTCAACTTCTGGTTGGTGCTTAAAGCATCCACAGTGGACTTTTTGTAAATTTGAAAAGTCTGACTTTTGGGCAGTGATGAATTTTTACATTGACACTATCTGGATTTATGTCAAGACCCAAGTTCTGGAAAACACTTCAGTTTGTTGAAGGTGATCAATGTGGCCAAATCCATTTCCAAGCAATTTTTTTATCAAGTCAAATTAAATATCCTGATCTACTTCAACAATCAAAAGTTTTCAAATTGGTACAATATGCTTTCCAAACTCATTTTCAAAAAGATCAAACAATTTAAAAACTTTGGATGGGAATAAAGGTGATGTGACCAAGTAATTCACACAGAAAGTTGTACATGTACAGGTTGGTACATATGTGATTTTTTTTGAATTTTGACATTTTTTTTTCAAAAAATTCAAGAGTCAAAAAAATCAAAAATCAAAACTTGAAAAGTCTGCTATGACAAAATGATTTTTACTATTAATTAGTTATGTGAATTTTTTTGAAAAACAAATCATGAATGATTTTTCTCATCAAGTTTTTCTACAAATATGGTTTATGTATCACTCATGGCCATGGATCCTCTCATGTAGTAGATATACAAAAAAACAACCAACCATTGGTAAAGATTACCAAAGACCTCAAAATCAATTTGGATCCCAGCCCTGAAGGTTATGGGTGAAACTAGAAACATTACAACTGTATCCATAAGTTTTGGCATATTGAGCCTACATATGTGGCTGTGGCCAGGACCTTATTCAACCACTCATCTCTCCTTGCCCAGTTAACAAAAGTCCTTCTAGGCCAAAAACCTTTCCTTCAACAGATCCTACAAATCCTGGTATTGTTAAAACCCTTTGACCAGAACCAAGCATGTTAAAGCAACGAAAAAATGGAACAAAACCAACCAAAAAACCAAAACACAAAACCTCTGATCAGTCATACCAAATGATCATCAATAAAACCAAGAAAACTTCTTCTTCATTTATGTTTTTAACAATCTTCTTTCATCATTTCTTTTTTTCTATAAACAAGTAATATACCTCCAAAGATCCCATCATACAAAAAAATAAACCAATTTCACAAAAAAAAAATCTAAACACCAAATCAAAGAACATCTATTGTTAAATCACAACAACAAACAAACAAACAAACAAACAACAACAAGAAGAGGATTGATTTTTTTATAAAAAAAAGGAAAAAAGATAAAGAAGAAGAAAAAACCAAGAAGAGTAATAATCATAATAGAAAAAAAAACAAGAAGTTTAGAATTTATATATATAAGAGCTAAATGAAGAAAAAAATCTCAAAGAAATCAATCAAAACCTACAAAAACTTCAAGAGAAAAAAAGATCACCTCATATTTCTTATATAAAAAAAAGTAAAAAGAATAAAAAAAACCAAAAAGTTGAAGAAAAACTGAATTATACACAAATAAAAAAAACCAAAAAAACGACAATAGATAAGGGAAAAAAAGATCCACACAAACAAAAAAGAGTAGAAGAAAGGAAAGTCCATCAAAAATTATTTTAATAAGAGAAAAATGATCAAGAGATCCGATTTGATGAGGTAAAATCATGGACAGCTTAGTGATGTGGATGATGTGGATTACCATTAGATCGATTATGAACATTTCTAGCTTCAGCTTCAGCTTTTTTCTTGGCTCTCCATTCTTTTCTAATCTCTTTGAACTCTGTAATGGAAAGAAGACAGACATCAGGAATCAGTCTCTTTGAAGATGCTGGAAACGTGATAGAATTTTTTACAAACCTTGTGGTAATCGCTTAGGTCCGTGTTTTTGCATTGCAATATGTGCATTCAAATGATTCAAAGTTCCATATCCTTTTGTACATCCTGGATAATTACAATCATACAACCTTTCAACCTAAAGCAAAAGAAAGATTCAAGTCAACAAATGAACCGGTAAGTCACTTTGGAAAAAGGGCAAAAATGAACAAACTTCATCAAATCGTCTTCGAGCACGTTTTCTAGGTGCCCCAAGATTGAACTGATACGGCTGTGAATCGTGCCTTGGAAGTTGATGAGGTAAAAGTGGATGAACCGTTTCCAACGAATTTGATGAAGAGGTAACAGGTGAAGAAGAGGAAAGATTGCTAGTGATCGAATCGATTGAAAGTCTAGGAAGAGAATGATGATGTGAAGGAGGAGGATGAGAAGAAGGATAAGGATGATAAGATGAGGCAATCTTATGCGAAGGTTCTAAACCCAGAGGCGTTGCATTCGGTCGCCAATTGTTAATCAAAAGGTTTGAAGGATAAGCAGTGTTAGGTCTTTGTTGTTCACCAAATCCAATACTCGATGTTCCAGAATGAGTTTGAGGTCTGATGGAAGTAGTAGTCGAAGGAGGACTAAGAAAGTCTGGAAAGAGTGAAAGGAATTGTTCCGATTGTGTGACGTCTGGACTCAAAGTTGAAAAATGGGCCGAAGTAGTTGGTCTACTATTTGAGCACAGTTCAGGACTTTCACCTAAATAATCGGGTGAGACTGAAAATGGATTTGTGGAGAGCGGAGAGTTTTTTCCATCAGATCAAGTCTTTACCAAATTGATTTTCAGAAATGGTACGAACTCAGTTGACCATTACCGTAGAGTCCAACACTAGCAGAAGTGTAATCATAATCATGATTGAATTGACCTGCGTCCCAACCTGCACCAGGTGCGGTCATGGGACGAGTGTTATGAGGTCCTATACCTAAAGAATGAGAGAAAGTGAGTGATTATGTAGATCATCAAGGGTTGAAGACATGAAGGATACGAACCATATTGGAATGAAGTAGAAGGAGCTGATAGGAGATTGAATGAGTTGGGGGTGTTGGTGTTGGTGTTAGTTGTAGCAGAAGATTGATTTGAAAGATTGAGACGAACGATCGGACGAGAGAGAGGTGGAGTTTGATTCGGATGGTTAGGCAAAAGGTTGTTAATGTTTTGGTTGGTTAAAGGATTAGAAGTAGAAGAAGTGGAAGATGATGAAGTAGAATTGGTAGGAGTGGTAGAATTCAATCCATTACTTGAGATTGGTCTTTTGTTGTGATTGTTGTTATTTGTAAAGGATGAAAGTTGTGATCGATTAGGAGTAGTAGGTAAATTGAAAGCAAACTGTTGACCAGCAGAAGTAGAAGGTCTTTGATTGATGATTGAAGTTGAAGTTGAATCACCAGAAGGAGATCGATTGAGTAGATCTAGGTAAAGTGGTAAATCATGATGAATCGGATCAAGATTGTTTTTATGAGAGTTGAGAATAGGAATGTTCAAGGTTGGTTGAGTTGATGATGGTGATGGTTGGAAAGTGTTGATAGTCAAGGGTGATTGTGAAGGTAGATTGGATGATTTGGATAGATTGATAGGTTGATGTGGTACTGGTTGATAATAGATTGTAGTAGGTTGTGATTTAGGTGGTACAGTGAATGAAAAGTAAGCATCTTGATGTTGAGGTGCTGATTGTTGCATGTTTGATGATGATGAACTGATGAAGTGATTGATAATCCTAAAATCAGTTTACCGTTTCATCGATTGACTTAAATCAAAACTAATCGATCAATCAAGTAGATTACTTGAAATAGAACACTACTAATCCTAGTACTACGACTACTACTACGACTACTACTGCTAAATAGTGTTAGTCAAACTAGAACCGATGATGATTTTGAAGTTGAAGAGTGAATAGAATAGATAAATGGTAAAGAAAGAAACAAAGTGTAGTGTGTAGTAAAAGGTAAACAGGATGTTTGTTGATCAAGTTGAAGTGGTGGTGAATCAGTCAAGGTTAAACTGAAAATTTAAACTCCAAAAATGTATTTTTTAAAAAAAAATGATATTCAAGTTTAAAATCTTCTTTAAATAACTTAAAATTCCCTTAAAAACCTTTTACAATGATTTTAATTTTGAAAGTCTTGATGATCTAATCTTCAGTAATCAGGAATCGAATTTGAGTATATATGTAAAAGTGAAATGCGCAAAAAGAATTAAATCCAAAGAAAATCGATCAAGGAAGAAGGTACTGATAATGAAGATCGACAAGAATTTAATTTCAAAATTAATTAAACAAAGATTTCATTTTACAAAAATATCAAAAAATAAAAAAATAAAATAAATCATTTCAATGCGATGTGATCAACAAATTTAACACACACAAAAAAGAAAAGAAGAAAAGAAAAGAACTTGATTTTTCACCGCTTAAAATATACATCCCTATAGATATCACCTCGGCGATAGTGTTCACTTCTTGGCTGTTACATAAGCTTATCTACATATATCTGTTGATAATACATATATTTCAAATCCATTTGAAATCCTATCCAAACTTATTCAACATCCTCATTCATCTCGACTCCTTTCTCTCACACCCACGAACTACAGCAAGTTTCGGATGAATCTTCCTCGGGACTTGCCTGGGCTCGGAACTTCGAATTTCGAAAGACCACCTCGCCGGTCCGGTCGTGGTTCCGTGTGAGCCTTGAGACTTGAGAGACTTGCTTGGAAAATAATTGAATCATGCATACATATAAGCATAAACAAGTTACAAGCATCCATGTTGTAGCATATCACGTGATGTTTTTTGACTTTTGAACGGTTTTGATCAGGTAATTTCAAATTGCGGATTTTGAACACAGCCACTTCAAATATTCTATTGAATTGAATGAAGTAAAATCAAAGGAGGACCTAGGAGGACCCTAGAAAGCTGCAGTCTCGGTACCTACATGAAAAAACCCAATCATTTTGCCCAAAGCAAAGTAGGAAGCTCAAAAACTTGGGTTCAAAACCTGACCAATTTCATTGATGAACCTCAAACAAAACAATGGGAGCCCATTTGACAGAACAGATTGGCACTGACTTTGAATTGTATATGTAGTTTAGGTAAATTATATTAGTAAGAGAATAATTTCTCTTGAATAGAAAGAAAAAACAAGAAAAGTTGCTCAAGCATATCAAAACAGATTGGCACTGATGATTATATATGTATTTTAAGTAAATGATAGTAAGAGAAGAATTTCTCTTGAATAGAAAGAAAAAGATAAGAAAAGTGGCTCAATCATACATAAGAGTGTAAAGAAAGTATGTGTAAATCACGCTTTTTCAATCTGTGCGTGATGGGTTCTTTGAGACTTTGACTTCATACTGACTGATCAAGCAATTAATAATGGAGCCTCCCTGTCCCATATCTATGTGATGGGAATTGGTACTGAGTATCAACTTCAGAGACAGAAATTCAGAGCTTGTAGATGGTGTGAGGAAGTAAACTACATCTGCTGCATACAGGAAGGCAAAGGTCTAAGAACCTCCCCTGCTTCAGTTGGTGACAGTGGAAACTGACAAAACATCTCAAAACAGATTGGCGCTGACTTTTGATTATGGATGTAGTTTAGGTAAATGATAGTAAGAGAAAAATTATTCAAACATATATAAGAAAGTATGTGTATATCACTCATTTTCAATCAGGCTCAATCTCTACATGATGGGTTCTTTGAGACTTTGACTTCATACTGACTGGTCAAACAATTAATAATGGAGCCTCCCTGCCCAACATCTCTCTGATATTCATTGGTACTGAGTATCAACTTCAGAGACACAAATTCAGAGCTTGTAGATGGTGTGAGAAAGTAAACTACATCTGCTGCATCCAGGAAGGCAAAGGTCTAAGGACCTCCCTTGCTTCAGATGGTGAGAGTGGAAACTGACAAATCTGGGTCAACAAAAAAGTGTGGACCAATATGTGGCACAGCTCTTTTTGAGATCTTGCAGTACTCACCAAGCAGTGTTACCCACTTCAGTCTGGGTAAACAACCAGAGTGCAAGCTAAATAAAGAACCTACAATCACATCATCAACTTCTTCTCATTGAATTATGATGACTGTGACAGAACTAAGATGATTTTTAATGATAATCACAGATTTCCGGGGTTCCATTATGGTCTGAGTGTTGAAGATACCACCATCAAACAAACCTTGCAAGCCTTAATATCCAAGACTAGGATTTGAATTACTTGGACAGCGCTCAAGACTTGGTAAAACTTTTTTTGATGATCAAATATATTGAGAAATTTTAAAACTCAGTACACAACCTGATGATTTTAATTAGAATACTTTTGTGGGGTTTGTGACCAAAGCCTTGATCATTTTCATCAGGGACCTGTGCAGGAGCTTTCTGGGGCTCTATGAAAGGGATTCGAACAGATTATTGCTTGAATTATCTGAATGGTTTCCAACCTAGATGGTTTCCAAATTGTCATGACTGAAGACCTTCATGACCCCAGAATTGACAAATCACCTTGAATTTTTTATATTTCCTTGAACCCAAACAGTGATGATATATAATATCACTTGTCTGAAGATTTTCATAACAATTTACAGAACATCAGAACCTGAAATTTGGGGTTGACACCTTAGACCTCAGGTTTCTGACAGTTGGGGACCCTATAGAACACATGTTTTCAATAACATAAGTCTTGAAGCTCAAAGTAGAAAGACTTTTGAGAGTACTTTCATGCCCTCAAAACCAAAAAATTAGCTTTCACATATAGGTCTATCAGTTGTACAATAATTGGAACATTTAAAGTTGAACATGATCATAGAATTTGGTTAAATTTATGTGTTGCAGCCTGAGGAAGAAGTTTTGGCTTTTACCCGTTTGACAATTGTTGATTCCACAAGGGATTATCTTTCCCTTCCCAGCTGCCGCCTCCTGATGGATGTATTACTATTGTACTCTTCCCCTTGATTGAAACCATGTGAAAAGTATAGTGGATGATCATCATTCATTTTGTTGTGTTCAGAATCTGACAGGTAACATCCTTCTGGATCAGATTCTACTCTTTCATTTGTCAGATTTTCTTGAGCCTGTTGGATGACTAACACTTTTTCCAAAACTTTTGAATCATCTTTAGTTGTGTTCTTGTCAACTTAATTCTGCTGGGAGTGATATATGCATGCTGAAAACTCTTTCCATATATTTTCAGCTTCTCTCCCGTCAATGTTTTCTGATTTAAAAATGATGAAATGTTGTAGATCCTACAATCTCTCTAAGCTTATTATACCTTGGGTTATGATGACTCACCTTGTATTTGGTGGTTTCTGATCCCTGACACACAATATTCCTTGAAGCAGTTGATACTCAGTAAGTGCATGGTTCATTGGAAGGGTAAAGCTTGCTCCTGAGATCCACCTCAAACACTTTTATAGTTAGTTGGACTCCGCTATGACTTTGGTACATATCAGGTAGAAGTGAATAGATTAAAAGCTTGGGCAGCACAGTGAATATCGAGAATTGCAATTGTCAATTTATTTGCGTGAAATGTATGGGCACAGACATAAAATAATTATACAAAGTCAATTGAAAACGATTGGAGACAAGAAAGGAAGAAACAAGAAATAAGTTTTATGAAAGTATCCTAAATTTGTACGGGTATGAATATGATTCAACTATACAAATCAAATTTCTCAAGAGGTCAAACTCTTTGAGGTTCCATCCATATCAATTTACCATGAGCATCATCATCATAATTTAACTGAACATGAACTTTATCATAATCTTTCTCTGTACCACTTTGTCCTACTTGATTAACAGACATTTGAGAAAACTTTTCAGAAAGATTACCAGCACAAGCAACACGAATGATCTGAGTCATATCATTTGGATCAAATTGAATAGGTTCATTCAAATGAAGAGGTGATGAGATTAACCTTTTATAAGATCCAACTAAGATAGCACAGATCGAAAAAAATGACACCATAACGATAGGAACCATTGAAAGAAAGGTAGGTCCGAAGATACGGCTTTTTGCATCCCATCCCATTGTTGAGATCATCCAAGTACCATTAAATTCGCGTGAGATATTGTTTGGTAAGTGGTATGGATCTGGTTCAAGATTGACTGTAGAAAAGTGGGCTCGAAAAAACTTTTGAGGTACATTGACAATCAATATGTTGTTCTTGGACTTGAGAGCCTTTATGAACACGTCCCGCCAGGCCATCTTGGATGGAATATGACTCACTGTTGTCGCAAATTCTATCACACCGTTGAAGTAATGGTCCTGATCGAGGTGAGGGAAAGAAATCCGCAGTCCCGAAGAAGAACCCCATCAGACAGATCTTATCAACATCAACCATTATTTTTTTGACAAGAAACATACAAGAATTGTGTCCAATTTGTCTTCCTCGAGCCCCTCAGCAGCATTTTCATACACTGAACGGATATCATCGCTAAAGGTATTTGCCCACAAAGTTTGAGAGCTAGAAACCATTGCCCTTGTCAACATGGCAAGGTACTCTGAAAGAAACTGAGTCTTTTCTGACATCTGATGGGTTTCACTAAAACTAGTTTGGTTAATCGTAACACTTGAGTAATTGTAGAAAACTTGATAAGTGCCAATTTTTGGTCGGATTTCACACACAGTTGGCCTCAAGAAGTCGTATTGTGATCCGTTTCCAGCCAGAATGAGAACTGAAGAACATACTTCAGGGTCCACAGAACAAGTCGGTTTCAATTGAATGCTACACACCATGATTTCCAGTCGATTTAGCACCGGTCAAATCTTGATCGAAGCAAACATGAGCGAAAGCTTGGCCCATAATCTTTGTTGGCTTCTTTCCCAGTTCCGGGATGTACCGGGATGTAGTCGTAGGCACATCTGACATAAGGAGACACTTAGTGGGGTGATGAAAATTCTACTAAAGGGCGGACGCTCACCAATTTCTGTTCCGTTCGGGCAAGCTCCGCTCCAAACCCAATCAGAGAAACTTTGATTACGAGGCGAAGGTGACTTCCAATGTTTGAACAGATTTAGTTGAATTCTAGAACGAGACCTTGCTAAACCAGATGAACCTATAGCTTTACATGAGACCCCTCCACGTAATCCCATTTGATAAGCTGTATAGTTTATTGAAGAGCTAAAGACAGTGTCATCTGCTATTCCATCAACATGATAAAGTCTTTTCATTCGACCTCCAATGTCATCTCCGAGCAAGTGTCCTTTATTGCGTGGATCGTGATTTACTGAGCCCATTGGACCAACGGCCAGGATTCCCCCTAGCAAACCGCATAAAATTGTTCAAACTGGTAAAAAAAACATATTGAAAAGATGCTCACCAGTAGGGACCGAATACGCCGCTCCGTTGAACTTGAAATCGCGGGGATATCCGATGTGAGAGAAAGCCGCTGACATACCACTAGATACTGCTGTATATCCAAATAGTGTCCTGACCTTAGGATTGGGGCGTTCTAAGTTCCGCAAAAGTGGAATCAGAATGAGATATCAAAAACATTCGATAAGAAAAACTTACCTTCATCATCCCAGCGTATATCTTCGTGTAACATTCTTCCAAACTCTGCTGTACTTAAATCAATTTCTTGGCCCGACATATGATGGCTTAACATGATGGGTGTTGGTGTCAGAAGAGTGACAAAGCTATCATGGTGAGAAAAAAGAATAAATCATCAGCTCTGTGGTATGAGTTGGTTGACAAGTATTCTTAATCACCTGGCTGTCATAGATTTTAGTACAATAGTACTAGCTACGGTCATAATCGAGATCGTTAAATGAGATTTCCGAAAAACAAATGATGCTCTTGAAACATCAATGACGGCTGAAAGTTCAAAGAGTGAAGTAGGACTCCAAGTCAAAGTAGCGGTCGTATACAAAAGTACTGCCTTGGAAAACCCGCTGCAGAGGAAGGCTGCCACGTTACTTTTTTCATATTTGATATCTTCGCAAAAAAGAATGTCAACTTACAATGAGCATAATACCGAAAGAGATGTTGAAATCGCCGTGACGCAAAAAGCCATCATCTTTGGAGAATCCTTTGCCCATTGGGCTACGCTTGGTGGTAATGGAATTTGACACAGACTTGTGACAATAATGAAACCAAAAACAAAGATCATAACACATAATTCTCCCAATACGATTGACCATGCGTACGGCGAGAGAAGTTTGAAGTAGATAGATCTTGGATCGGGGTCTGGGCTGTGCAAAAGGAGGGAAGAAAATATGTCAGTATGATTTCAGTCTCGAGGATCTGATGTGTGATTCATCAAATTGGTAAAAGGCTTTTGGAATGAGTGCAATAATTCAAGTTACCTTGCATCTGATTCCGATTTGTCATCGTCATCTGTGCTTAACGTTGAAAAGCTTCTTGGGTTTTGCCCGACGTCTTCTTCCATGGAATTTGGGAGATAAATATTCCGCGCGTCTCTACTCTTCCAAGGGTGTAACTCTATGGTGGTGAAAGTATCTTCAAGAGCTGTGGTGCGGGCAATAGACGAAAATGAGTCTTCATCAAAGGTTTCAGAGTCCATATTGGCCTCCGATGATGGATGTTTGATTTGATGTGGCATGTTTGTGATCTGGGCATATGCAACGCTTCAATAGTGAGGAGGTATTTATCTTGACAAAGTCCCTCAGGATCCGAGGGACGCCGCGAGAGGGGAGACCGGAGAGACGCCGCAAGAGGGACTTTGTTAAGTTAAGGAGGGCTTTTGAGCTGTCATTGGTCGAAGCTTCGGCCGAATCCAGATATCTCACCTTGGCTGAATTTGACTTGTTTCAATGCACAGCAACTTCACCGCGCTCAGCAAGATACTTCAGCGTGAATGTTCGGAATTCCTCAAGATATCTTTGAAAAGAACAATTCTTCAAGACCAAATTTACTCCAGGAGCCACGTGGCGGGTCAGAACTTAGAAGGTACAGCTGGTTGCTAGGCACTCGACGTGATAAATTGAAGTTTATCAAACTGATGGAGCCGGCCTCATACTTATCATTTTTCGTTTGAGATCTTTGTTATGCGAATCGACAAACACGGAACAGATAGTACGTAAACTACAGGAAGACCTTTAAAATGTCAACAAACATTTCTTTGAAAGATTTGTCCAAGATTTTTCATCCACTGCCCACCCAAAATTTCCCAGTGGGTGCTTATCAAGATTAGGAGGCTGTTGAGTTTTTGCGCACGGTCCTGCACCATCACGGGAGACCTCCGAGCTGATTTGTACAGATTGAATCAAGTGGATGTCCGATGCATACACTCGATCTTTATGAAGTGATGAAAAGTAGATAAACCTTGCGGGACGAAGCTTTGTCGAGATTTCGTTGGACACATGCACCCAGTGTGATGTCATCGAGAAGGAAGGAATAAAATAAAAATCTGAAATGACGGTCATGAGGGGCGCAGTGCTTAACCATTTCCAAGTGATTTCGTTGTTTGGTACAGCTTACTAGGAGATGGATTGCGTCGAGTCTTTTTTTACCCAAGACAAATCGACTCCTTCCAGCCTTTTACTGTGAGCTTTCAGGTTTTCGTCACTATGAGCTGTGGCTGCTGAATGTTGGTTAGGCCAAACTCAATCGTGCTTCTCGTGTGCTTTTTTTTTCTTGTCAACGATGAAAAAAAGGGTTCTTGAAGATGTCTCACGTTGCTGGAGTTCTCAATTCTGAAAAGTTTGAGGTGGATCGAGAAAGAAAGATGAGAAGAATTACTCATGAGGGGCAGTGCTTAAACCATTGCTACAAGGTGATTTGATTTCTTGGTCAATTGGCGAGTTTGATGAGTTGAGTCCACTTGGAATGCTTGATGCACTATTTCCAGCCTTGTGAAAGATGTCAGAGTCGATCTTCATATGGACTGAGGAGGCTTTGGGTGTTCCTTACTATGAGCTTAATGACTGTGAGCGGTGAATGTTTGTCGGGCCAAATCATCTGTCGCTGGTTCAACAAGACCACTAATAATAATATAACTGACCTCAACAAGCCCACCGTCTCAACACTCAGTTCAGTCAGACTCGTCGATCTGAACTTGTGAGTAGGCTATCAGATCGACCATCTCCTTCAATAAATACTTTGACGCTCCACAGTTTGGGATCGTGATACCCCGCTTTCGTTTACCTTTTGCCCGTCACAAGTCAACAGATATTGACTTTTCTCATCCTTGACACCACTTTTTTGTTATACACACCTTTCAACATGTCTGGGGCCCGTAAGACCAAGATGAACCTTTCCCTCCTCACATGGAGACCTCGTGATCTACTCGCTGACATCCAGTAAGCAAACGGAGCATCTCAAAATCCCACTTCGTTTGTGCATATATATGGGTTTTCAGCCTTGTTGACCATCCTCTCCTCTCCTCTTGACATCATCATCACGAAAGAAATGACCTTGTGGCAAGCTTTGGAGAATTCATTGGTACGGTCACCTTTATGATGGTTGGTTTAGGAGGTATCCAAGTAAGTTTCCTCGTTTTTTCGCTGAAGCGGAACCATTGTGATCACCCCACTTACTGCGTGGTTCCACCTATAGGCTGCTGGTACTTCTAATATAGCTAGTTTACGTCTAGCTGCCAGTCAGACCACTGCCAGTGCTGGTACTACGGGATCAAGTGCTATTAACACTGTCGCTTCCATCGAGGTTCGATTTTTCTTCTTGCTCTTACTCATCATCCAATCACCACTGACGGGTCTCGTGTCGGTCTGAACGCCTGAAAAACAACAGCAATTGACCTATATCGCCGTCTCCATGGGACTAAGTCTACTTTTCTCAGCTTGGATTTTCTATCGAGCCACTGGTGCTGCATTCAATCCGTCAGTTATTTTACACTCTCCATCGTTCAGGACAAATGAGTCAACACTCACATCACTCACTTTCCACAGAAACGTATCATTTGCACTGTTATTGATCGGAGTCATTAGCCCAACCCGATTTATCCTTTACGCATCTTCTCAATTTCTCGGTTCAATCGGTTTGTTCAACCCCGAGACATCCTATACTTTGATATAAACTTTAACTGATTTTAAAAATAATTCAATAGTTGCCTGTGGGCTTTTAGCCGCACTTCTTCCAGGTCCTTTAGCTGTAACTCCCGCACTAGGAGCCGGGACAAATCCCGGTCAAGGACTTTTCATCGAATGTTTTGCAACTTGCGCATTGATCTTATCAGTCCTTTTCTTGGCTGTTGAGAAGCATCGCGCTACGTTCTTGGCACCAGTCGGAATTGGAATCACGCTATTTGCTGGTCATATGTTTGTGAGTAGCATGTTCATATGTCTTTGAGACACTTCACTGATTAATGTTTTTTCACTTCATCTTGCAACTTTACAGGCCACTGTATACACCGGAGCGGCCATGAACACGGGTAAGCAAAAACTTGATGTTCTGCTCATTGCATCACTTCCGCTGATCCGTAATCTTGACCTTTGATTTACTACACAGCCAGAGCTTTTGGGCCCGCAGTAATCACAGGATTTGGTACAGATCACTGGTGAGATATTTTTACCTTCTGTTCATATCCCGAATATTATAGGATTATGTTGACACTTTACCTCTACCGCTTGGCATTCAGGGTATACTGGTTAGTCCTCAACTTCTCTACCTTCTCTGCTAACTCCACTCTAACTCCAATCTAACTCTGGTGATGTAACTTTTAAACAGGGTGGGACCAACTTTAGGGGCTTTCTTGGCTGTCGCAATATATGCGATTATGAAACGATTCAAATATTGGAAACTGAATGAAGGACAGGACACTGATGAATCTAGCAAATCGCCAGCTCTGTTCTTTCAAGAAGAACCCGAACATACGAACCAAACTAAGCCTTCAGAATCCCGAGCGCCTTCCATGAGGGTTCTTCCTAGCATTGGTCAAACCCTTGGAGAAGGTCAAGATCAGCGAGAGAAAAATACAGGTGTGATTGTAATTAACGAACCTGAAGGTGATCGTAGGGAGAGGCAAAACTTGATGGTTAGACATCCTTCTGGTATCGAAGAGATGGTTTGACACTCCACTCTATCTTGTATTTTGGGTAGCACTTTTTCGCATTTTTTCTACATCTGTATCTTGGAGCAAGGGAAATTATCACTTTCAAAACATCTCATTCAAATATCGCCCAAAGTGGCAATAATCCCTGTCAAGCCTGGTGAAGAATTCTCTTCAAGCCCCCATTTTTTTTTACCTGAATGATCTTTCAATAAGCGCAGGGCATGAAAGGTTTGACCAAATCATTTCGAACTCTTGACCAGACGCATGTTTTGTAAATTGTCACAATCGGAGATTTTATTAACTTCACAAAGTTCAACTTCCAGTCGCGAGCGACGGCGATCTTGATCCGACACAGTCCGGGACTCGGATGCCTCGGGGCTCATTCGAAGTAATCGGGACCACGAATAGCTCGGGATCTGCATGCGAGATGTCCTCGCCTCGCGATCCGAGACCAGGTTGACTTGAGCGACGCCAATGGATTTTTGTACATATTTGTGTTGAGGTTGTGTGAATAAAAAAGTTAAGCTCGTTCACTTCAACAGAGGGTCGTGCTTCCTCAGTATGATAGGCCCTTCCCTAGATCGATTTGTCTAGACGTAGGATGCAGTTGCTTTCCATTTAAGGAACACAGAATTATGTGTATCGGTAGGCAAAATATCATCCATTTGTCTTGATGTGTATGACGAATTTGTGCACTTCTTGGTCCCATTGCCTCTTGCTAGCTTGAGGTGTCACCATTGATCTTAAATCAGATTGGTGTCAAATTTTACCAATAGCTAGTCCTGACCTTTGCCTTATATCATTTCCGCTATAATACAATCATCAACAGCTCTTTCTGTTTCTGGATAAGGGCTTTGGGTCTATGATGTGGACACAACAACACCGAGGAGCACCGTAGTGTCAATTACGCACAATCTGATTTTCCTCAACTCCATTAATCTTTTATTTAATTCCGAAGGCAATAGAAGAGTTATCCAAAGCACTGATCGAGTGTAACTTAATTCACAATACTTCGTAATCACTTTCATTGATAGTTTTTCTGATATCCATTCGTTAATCAAGTCTATTCTTAAGTGCATTCATTCATTCAAACATCCATTTAACTCAAGATGAAGAGTAAGCCTCAATTAGACTGGCCCCTATTGAAATGGAGGCCGTCGCAAGCATTTGACGATATAAAGTGCGAAACTTCCACTTTCTGGTCTTCAAGAAATCTTTCTGAATTAATGAAGTTATATATGTCACTCTTCTTCATAGGAATGACTTAGTCTCTGCGACTGGCGAGTTTTTCGGGACATGCATCTTTCTGTTAGTTGGATTAGGTGGGATTCAAGTAAGTCATTAGAAATATACTACCCATTGAGTATTCCCTCGATGTAGATGCGAAGGTGAAAGGTATTGAATTTGGCTAAAGCTTTAACGATTTATATCTCCACCTTCAGGCAGCTGCTACTTCCAATCAATTTACGCTCGCCCAAGCAGAGACGAACAGAACAGCTAGTGATGGTTCAACTGGAGCCAGTGCTATCAACACGGTTGCATCTTTGGAAGTTAGTTACGCTCAAAAGGGCTCAGCTCCCTCTGTTGAAAAGAAGACACTGACTTTTTATAATTTTGATTTTGTTAATAGCAACTGACCTACATCTCCGCTTCGATGGGATTAGGTTTACTTTTCTCTGCTTGGATTTTCTATCGTGCAACGGGAGCAGCATTCAACCCGTCAGCCATCCATTGATCGTCTCCATCATTTATGAGTCGAAACTCACATTAAACCCTTGCTGTCCGAAGAAATGTATCATTTGCACTATTATTGATCGGGGTTGTCAGTCCAACCCGCTTCATCCTATACGTATTCGCTCAATTTGTCGGAGCAATCGGTTCGTTCGAGTCGCATACATCCCCACAGTTTTCATCAACCCTCTCTTACTATATCTGAAAACTCTTCTCCAATAGTTGCCTGTGCACTTTTGGCCGGACTCCTTCCAGGTCCTTTAGCTGTGACACCAGCATTAGGAGCCGGTACAAACCTTGCTCAAGGAGTCTTTATCGAGTGCTTTGCAACATGTGCACTGATCTTATCAGTCTTGTTTTTAGCCGTTGAGAAACATCGTGCTACTTTCTTGGCACCAGTCGGCATAGGGATAACTCTGTTTGCTGGGCATTTGTTTGTGAGTAATCAGTGTACATTTATATCTTTGTTTGGCTTGCGTTACTGATGTTTTTTTCTCTCTTTCAGGCCACTGTATACACAGGAGCTTCTATGAACACAGGTAACTTATTGATAACGTGCTGTTCTATGTACTCCACTGATCAATCATTTTTATCGTTAATCTCTGTGAAAACCACAGCAAGAGCGTTCGGGCCCGCAGTGATCACAGGATTTAGTTCAGATCACTGGTGAGAGACCTTCACTTCTTGCATCAAGATACGGTCAAATCGGAAAAGCTTGACCGATTTTGCCCGCAAAACTCGAGCAATTTGGCGGGGAATTTGTGACAAGCTTTTCTGGTTTGACTGTATCATCTTGTTCCGAATTAGACAGGATTGTGCTGACAACTTATTTTCCCTATGCGCCGATATGCAGGGTATATTGGTATGTCCCCGCTTTTTCCCTATTTCTTTCGAAAACAAAACTGATACATTGGTCACACAGGGTTGGACCATCTTTAGGATCGTTCTTGGCTGTAGCAATCTATGCGATCATGAAACGATTCAAGTATTGGAAATTGACCGAAGGACAAGATACAGATGAATCAAGTAAATCTCCAACTCTTTTCCAACATGAACCCGACCGTTCACAGCACTCTGGGGCTTCAGAAAAGCGAGGGCCTTCTGTGAGAGTTATCCCTAGCATCAGTCAAACCTTACAACAAGAAAAACATGGAGGTGCAAGTGTAAGGAACTCCCCTGAAGGGGTTAGTGATCAGAGGGAAAGTCAAAACTTGACCGCTCGAAAAATTGCTGGAAGTGACGACATGGTCTGAGACTCGAGAGATATCAGTTTGGGTTTTGGATTATGTACATCCATTCACATTCCTCTTCGTCTTTGCTTATTTGAGAAAGGGAAAATCAATCCTCAAAACAAAACATTGTACATAGCCATCAAATCCATCTACAAAACAATATCGCATACTTCATTCCTTGTTGCACAGGCTCATTGAAATTTACCGTGCAAACTTCTCAGATGAGCACCAGATGTGCGTGAATTTTTATTTAAAAAGTAATGCAAAATTGATTTTCCCAATGTTTGACCAAAACCATTTGATCAAATGGGGAAGTAGAAATACTAGATCTTCCGGTGAGGTTTCTCCCGGGAACAGCCCTCGAGAATTCTCAACAATTCTCAATCAATCAAAATCTTTTAAACTTTTGTTCACAATCTCGTACTGCGGCTCGTCAAAACAGACGCCTGCTCACCAAAAAGTTGACGATTAGCCGTGTCGAGCGCACTGAGAATGAATTAACGAGTCTTTCCAAGGCGTCAAACCAGCCTAACATTTGTCAAGCTGCAACTGTCGAGTGGTGTACATATCAATCCTTGATGTTTGGATCGAGCGGTAAGACCTTGTCAAGAACGATATCTTCCTTCACACTTTAGTGTGCTTTGATAAACGAAGCTTTATAGTATCTCATGGCCCGGGCAAAAACCGAGGATTACCGTTAATGAAAGATGAACTCTTCAAAAGGTGAATTCATTCTAACATAGATATTTTTTGACTATACAAGATATAATCCCGAAAACCAAACGACAAGTGTTCCAGAACGAAGTTCAACTTTGGTTTTCCTTAGTTGTTAATGAAGTTGTCTCATCTCAACTTTCATACTTGTTACTATATCAAGTTTTTTTCTTACGTTCCTTCAACAACGCATATCCATTCCAATTCCAATTCAGAATGAAAACCAAGACTCAAACTCAATTAGATTGGCCATTATTAGACTGGAGACCATCACAGATATTTGATGATATAGAGTGCGAACCTTTTATTTGTTAAACTACGTCCTACTTTATGATATCCTTCTGAATCATTTTATGTATGTTAATCTTTTTTTAGGAATGATATCATCTCTGCATCTGGTGAATTCTTTGGAACGTTCCTTTTTTTGTTAGTCGGATTAGGCGGAATTCAAGTAAGTTTTTCTCCAACATCCTGATACACTTTGATGATCTTCTACACGTAAATTCGAAAGCAATATGTTTTACATTGGCTACTTCTTGCATGATTCATGATTTTTCTCCCAGGCAGCTGCTACTTCTAACCAGTATACTCTCGCGGAAGCGGCGACAAAAAACACCGCCAGTGCTGGTTCATCTGGATCTGTAGCTATCAACACCGTTGCATCTATTGAGGTTAGTGCTCTCTAAGATTTCTCTATGTATCTAGAAAACTTGACTGACTTTTAACACGATTAACATCAGCAATTAACTTATATCTCGGTTTCAATGGGATTAAGCTTACTTTTCTCAGCTTGGATCTTCTATAGAGCAACTGGAGCTGCATTCAATCCGTAAGTTTGGATGATAAAAATTTATTGAGAGAAAGCGCTCGAGTTCATTGAGAAGGCTTCCTTACGAAATATTCTTTATAACAGCAATGTCTCGTTGGCTCTTATGTTAATTGGTGTGATTACTCCTACCCGTTTTGTACTTTACGCAATTGCACAATTGACAGGTGCCATCGGTGCGCACCTTTTCCCTCTACATTCTTTGACTTCTCTTACTAACATACTTCCATCTCGTTACATAGTCGCCTGTGCTGTTCTAGCAGGTCTTCTACCCGGTCAATTAGCTGTTACTCCAGCTCTCGGAGCCGGAACTAGTTTAGGACAAGGATTGTTTATCGAATGTTTTACGACTTGTGGATTGGTTTTGTCTGTACTGTTTTTAGCCGTTGAGAAACATAGAGCTACTTTTCTTGCGCCTGTTGGAATAGGTATTGCTCTCTTTGCCGGGCATATGTTTGTGAGTAACTCTATGTCCTTTTGAGTTTGGATATGCTTGGACTGTATCTGGGTCTGATTCTCTTTGCTTTTCTTGATTAGGCCGTTATTTATACTGGTGCTGCTATGAATACTGCAAGAGCTTTTGGACCTGCTGTCATCACTGGGTTTTCATCTGATCATTGGTTTGTTCTAGACTTTCTTGTTTAACTCTCACAATCAAATAAAGACTCGCCGATTTGAATCACTGATAATCCATGTCCTTCATATCGTATACCATTTTCACAAATTTCTAAATAAGGGTATACTGGTTAGTTTGAACTCATCTCGATTGTTCTATCACACGTTTTCATACCTAAATAAAATACTGACCTCACTGCTGAATTTCAATTTTCAAAACCATCCACAGGCTTGGTCCATCTCTAGGTTCAGTAGTGGCCGTCATAGTTTACACGATCATGAAGAGATTCAGATACTGGAAATTGAACGAAGGTCAAGATACAGATATAGGTTCTAAATCACCTGCACTATTCTTTCAACCTGATCCTGAAAGACCGGTAAAAAAACGCTCAGTTGATTTAGAAATAGAAGTAGAAGAAGAACCAAAAGCTGTAACTTGTAGTCATAATGAGAAAGTTCAGAGCAATAGTTCTATGGATAGACAAGGCAAAAAAGCCAACCAGTCGGCACCACAAGAAGCTTCTGAATGGGTTTGATGGAGCAGAGGTGATATATGTTATTATTTGATATGTTGTTCAAAGCATCTATATGTTCTCTAGAGTGATATGAAGGTCATATGTTGTCTGTTCTATAAGTTCTTGTTTTTTTATAATTGGTTGTGCCCGATTTTGTTTCATTTTTCATTTTTCATCTCTCTATATAACGACCATCAAATCTTTCTCTCATTATGCAATTTACCCATCGAAGATCTCTAAAGCTTATAACAAATACAAGATCACCACGACAAACGACCTCGTTGACATAACTGACTACAGGATGATATAGCTACCTACCTTTTCTTGTAAGGTACATCAGATATCGGCTGGTTAATATAAACGTACAAAAACATTTTATGCTCATAGTTTCTTGCTTTAATTGTTTGTTTCTATTTGTGTTATGTTGTGTTGCTGTAATAAAGACTTGAGTTCTCCAAATATGTTCAATCTTTCGTCTCCTTTCAGTTCTGAGATTTCAACCTTTTTTCGAGCTGGAAGCCTAAACGAATACCCTCCTTCCATGCAACAAATATAAAGTATTGTATGTATGAATTTTTGCAATTTCAATTCAATCATTCAAGTGAAAACATGATACTACATTTTCCTAAAGACCAATTGAACTAATGCTACCAATTATAGTGACACCGTAGATTCCAAATTAATATGGTGAGAACACTCGGAAGATCAATTCATACCCGCGTCATACCATCCAACCTTGCGAAGTGATTTGAGCTACTAATCCTAATTGACTTAGAAACTGATAACTTTTGTTGTTTTTAACATGTAAAGCAAGCCTATCCCACTGAACAATAAATACATCCATGAATGGTAATAGAATAGTACCAGATAAACTCAATCTTTGAACTCGAGCTAAAGATTCAACGTATATCAATCGAGGAGAAGCTCTGAGATGTAATATCTACAAGGCATGTAAGACAAATGAATCAGTTTATTGGCTTTTTTCATGTTGGGAGATACAGATGAATTGAAATTAACTAACACGCGGTAAGAAGGCAGCCAATGCGATCGGTACGGACGAGCCTGGACCATTAAGTAGAACGAGATCAGGATAAGGTCTTGAAAGTGTAATATACCAAAGACAGTATATTAAAGACACCACGGTGGACCAAGGAGTTGTGAAAAACGATTGATGAACTCTTCTAGCTCGAGGAATTTCCAAGAATGAAAACTAAAGATATTTAAAGAGAAAGAACTTGCTTGTTGTAAGTTGAAGGTGTCAGATATCGTATAGAGGATATAAAAGTGCTCACATCTCCTTTAGATTTGTTTGCTTCTAATTCAAGTGCTTTGGTTTTACTAAGTTTATCACCTGATGAGATGATATAAAGTCTAGGAGTATATCGATCAAATGGTAATTCTGAAAGTAATCTCATCATTTCCCCAGTATGGCCACCTGACCATAAAAAAGAACCAGATCAGTTTCGATTTCAAAGAAGAAGGATTCCAATTGATGCAAAGTCTCACTTACCACTGCCAAGAAGGATATAAGTTCGACATGTTGTAGATCGGGTTGAGCTTTTTGAGGTTGGTGTTGAAGGTCTTCTTTTAAAGTGAGTAGAACGAATTGCTTGGATCAAACGTGCTAATAACAATATTGAGCACAAGATGACTGATACTGCAAGACTTGACCACGCCATCCATTGAGAAACATCGTGAGATTTGAGAACCGAGAGCAGCCACCACCAGGAGCTCATGAGAGCAGGTTTTACTACCTGACACAGAGTGTGACAGCCCTCTGAGCTGATCTTTCACGTCTCTGTCATCTACCCAATGAGGTGTTACTGATCTGACATGTAGCTGCTACCTGGCCGCGGTCAATCAATCTTCCCTCTGCATCACTTTCTGTGTTTTGTCTTATTGGAATCGCTTATCATCCATATTCCTCTGAATCCAGCCAAATTCAGGTGAATCGACATCGACATCGAGCTTAGTCCTCCTCCAAAAGCGAGACATCGAAGAGATGGTAAAGTCCTTATCCTAGAACCTTCATCCTTAAATTATGCTTTACCCTAACTAATAATCATGATGATGTTGTTTTTCATAAAAATCAGAGTTCTAAGCTCGCTGAATATTTGGTATGTTCTTGAACCAGTTCTTAGATCACCTTTTTACGAAAATAATGTAAACACCAAGGTGTGTGTCTCGAAAAAAGATGACACCGAGGAAATCGATTTAATGAATTTAGTAAACTGAGTTAATGTTTGATTAATTGATTCTCTTTTTGTTTGTTTGATGAATCGTCCTAGGATAAGCGCGTCCTGGTCATCACACAGGATGGAAGGACCATCACAGTAAGTAAATTTATGGATTTTTTTTCATCAGACTTTCGTACTGATCATTTGGTTCTTTTGGTGTGATTATTTTGTGTAGGGAGATTTGAAAGGATTCGATCAAACTACCAATATCATCTTATCTGAATCTATAGAAAGAGTCTATTCTGCTGATGAACCTATGGAAGAAGTTCCCTTAGGACTTTACGTAGTGAGAGGTGATCATATGTAAGAATCTTTGAGTTTTATTGGAAAGTTTTGGTATAACAAAAAATCATCTTGGTATTGACTTATGTCTGTTTTTCATTCATGATTTTGTAGTTCAGTGATCGGAGAACTTGATGTTGATTTAGATCGAAAGATTGATTGGTCTCTTGTTCGAGCTGAACCTCTTGAAGAAATTAAATATTAAAACCAATTCGAATTTCAAGATAAAAGTTATGAAAGATAATTAAACAAATAATCATCAACTTCATCCACCATCCCAAGAAACTGATCATTGATTCAAGTTGTGTTCATACTCAGCTATTGAATCCACGTATATACAGGCATCAAATCGTACCGGGAACGGTCAAATTTAGAGATTGTGGTGGAAAAGGGGATCTGTTGAGATTGTATATTTACTTTGCCGTCTATGGATGGAGCGGTGATAGCGCTCTATAGGATTGTGATGTTGGGTAACAGATTTCAATGGCATACCTACTACAATAGAAATAAGTTGTGATCTTGATTTAGAGATCTTTTTTCAAAATTCTGGTCTGATCAATCATAAGGCGGGGAGTAGAAGGTTGAATCAATAATGTCTCTTTGTGCAGATGCTGTACTTTTCTTCAATCTGATCTTCATTTATCTTTGAGGAGCTTTTGAAGTCACCCTTAACTATGCACAAGTTTGAATTTGACTGGAGAAGTTCAGATGAGAATTTAAGAGACGTGTCATTGCGAACAAAATCAGCTGAGAACTGTAAAACAGACTGTTACATATTTTGGATTTGACCTTTCACACGGTGTAGCGATTTGTCTGTATTGAAAAATCAGATCATGTGACTCACCTGTAACAGGAGTTGAAATTTGACATCCAAAACTTGTGAACCAGAGCATCTGGACTTCGCAATCCTTAACGTTCCGATCGATTATAATCAACAATCAGCATTCGAATTGGAAAGAAACGATGGCATCAACTACCGTTTCTACAACCGAATATGTACCAAGACATGCTTATCCTGTACTTGATACCGATCCTCACTTCAAAAGAGTGATGGGGTATTTACGTGGTTCTGATCTAGCTACTTGGGCTGGTCTCACTGCTATGGTTCCTGGTCTTTTATATGCTTGGGGTAAGTTTTATTAAATTTGATGATGCTTATATCAAATTATTGAAAACAATGTTTCGTATCTCGCTTTTAGATATGAGTGATCGAATTCCAGTTAAGAGTGTTAAAACTCAACCAAGATTTTATGGAATTGGTACTTGGATTGGATTTTGTGGTGGATTTTTAATGGCTTATCAGAAATCATGTAGTAAGTTTTTACCAGAAACTGAATTTTATCTTGAATGATATGGAGATAAGAAATTGATGTGTTTTTGGTTGATTTTGTAGATCGATTTTTGGGATGGACTGAGAATGAACGTGAACAAGAATTACAAGAAGCTGAATTCACTAAATTGGCTAGAGCAGGTAAATCTGATCAATAAGATTTAGATATCAGGTTATTGATTTTCTTGATTTTTGGATCGAAATTAGGTAAACCGATTTGGGGAGAATCAACACTTCAACCATGGATTCAATCTACTGCTCATCATAACTCACAATTCGCTCATATGAAATTCTCGACAATTCCTTGGTTTAACTTTGTAAAGTTGAGTCACAATCAAATTTCAATAACTCGTGTAGAATATGATATACTGACTGATTTGATGTTCAATGACGGTGAATTTGATCTATCTTTTTGAATTGGTTTTGATCTTGGAACCGAAATAGTCATCCTTACCATGGAGTTGATGTATCTAAATATTATCAAGATGCAAAAGTTTGGAGGCACGAGAATGGATTAGAGAATTAAATCCAGTCTCGACTCATTCGCGTGTTGTAAAAATTCAATAAGTAGGCCTTTTTTAGATATTGATCAATTGACTGCAATTCTCTTTTTCATCAATTCTCTTAAAACCTACTTGGAAGCTTAGAGTTTATGATTATATCATCCGTCAGTTGAGAATGGAGCTTTAGGAAATCAGCCACAAAGTCAAATTGACTTCTTGATGTGGTTTTCCTGTGGGCTCAAAGCCTGAACATTCTGACAAATTGATTTATTTCATCCTCGGACCACTTGAGATGACCATTATAGCTGAATCTTACATCGTAGGTCTACGCAAGCCAAAATTGATGTGTAGGATTTATCCTAGTGAGTTTCACAAGAGTGAGGCTTTTTTTCGTAATAAACCCCAGTTAGATACTGTACGGTGAAGGATATAAAACCTTTCGATTATCCTATCAACTTCAAAGTAGAAGAAACACAATCGGATGGGAGGGTGTTGCAATCATTCTGAAACTCCTGAAGGAGACAACAGCATTGATGATGTATGAATTGCATCGAAAGTCGATCTTTATCAATGTAAGTCGTATTCGCACGAAAGTATGATCATATTCTAGAGAGATTCAACGATTCCAAAAAGACACCTTGAGAGTGCAAGTCAGGCATCTTCACCAACGCAAATGTAAAGCAGTCGGAGCTACAAATCAGAGTCAATCAAATCCAGCTTGTGACTTTCCTTTTTTTCCTTTCATGATTCAAACGAGTCGTGCATTGATGTGAGGGTCGAGGCGAGGTCATTGAATTGATGTTTGAAAGTCTCGTTTGTTTTTCTAATCAGATTTGGAACATTTTAATATACTTCAAGCGAAGCTTACCGAAACAATTAGCAAACTCAATCAAAACAATTTCTAAATACCAAAGCACTTCCTTAAGAAGAATGTCAATGTAAGAATGTCAATGTGGAAATTGAATTCTATGTAGACACACTCAAAAAAACAAATTGACTTGTAGAATTTTCTTAAAAGTTTTTCCAACACAAATCGAAACGGAATTGTATCCTCATTTCTTTTTAACAATTTCTTTTAAAATAATTCAAGATGGTCTTTCATCAATTGCAATCTGCATTATCAAATTCTAATCAAGTTGAAAGCAATTCAGCTCCATCTAATACAAGTTCACCACCTCAATCAAAAAGAAACTTATTTAGTAATTATTTTAGTTCATTAACTGATACTATAACCGAAAAGGCGACTTTAACAAACTTACGACAAGTTCAAACCAATTATGATCCAAGACAATCGTCAGTAATCTTTCATTGAAGAGACTTCAATTTTATAATGAAAGTAATTGATGATTGATTTTTCTTTGCAAGCAGACCTTATACTATCAAACTTCAAAGATTGATCAATTCTACAAAAACTTTGGTACAACAAACCGATTCTATTGGAAGACAATCACATCGTACATCTCAATCTATGTTCACTTGGGCTCAAGATCAATCTGGATCTAGTGATGATTTAGATTTAGTTGATGTAGGTGATCGCCTAGCTTTCTTGATCTATAAAACTGGTGATTTGTTTTTAGATTATAGTAAGATGATTGAGAAATCTAGGATTGAATTGAAGGAGGTTAGAAATTTTGAGGTATGTCAATTTAACTTGTTCTTTACAATCTGTTTCTATTATTTGCGAACACAAAAAATAAGATTTTGATTTACTGATACATCTTAAAAAACACCTTTCTAGAATGAGTTAACCAAAAGTGTGAGTGATAAATGCTTAACTTTCTTGACGAAAATGTTTTACATTCTTATTCTGATGTGCAAACATAATGATCCATTACATTTAGCGTGATAGAAAGAAATCTTTAGAAAATCAAATCAATAAATATAAACAAGATGTTAAACCAAAACCAGAAGTACAAGAAAGAATCAAAGTATTAAATCAAGAATTAAGTGCGACAGATCAAGAACTTTCAAAATTAGAAAAATCATTATCAGAAATCAAAAGGATTAAATTGAAATCAACTTATTCGATTCAATTTAAAGCAATGAGAGAATTAGGTGAAAAGTTTTCAATCTTGGGTGGTTATGGTGATTTATTATTGAATGAAATTCAAGAAACCACGAACACTGATTCTACTTATGATGGTCAAGAAAGAACAGCTTGGATTAGAGGTGCTGTGGCTGAGAGTTTAGTGACTTATAGAGCTCCTTTGATCGAATTACCTAAACTTGATCAAATTCCTATCTCACCAGTTCAGCCGTCTCCAACAACAACAACACCTTCTAGTAATAATTTATTGGCCCCCGTCGAGAATAAAGGAGGTCGTGATACAAGGTATGTTTGATTTTCATGGATCACACTAAACCAAAAATCAAGAACAAAGCTAATAAAATTCTGCGATTACATCATTTTTTGTTGATAGATTATTTGGAGAGACTCATAGATTGGAATTAGAAAAGTTACTTCAAACTTCAGATGAATCAAGTCCCACTTCAACCCAACCCAAACAAACAAACAAAGATTTAAATCCAATTACAACCACAACCACAACCACCAAGACACCATATGAGATTGAAGTACCATTCTTGATAACAGGTGAATTGAAAAATCAAAATGAACCAATTAGATTACCACCATCATTTCCACCACCGAAATTACCAACCCGACCAAACCCATCAAAACCGAATGAAGCGAAAGAAGATTTAGAAATCGAATGTTTGAATCAATTTATCAATACAAGTGGTAATTCTTCACCTGTTTCGACTATTAAACCTTTATCTAATTATTCTAGACCTAGTTCTTCTAGTCCTACGACTGAGATCAAAAGGACCGGTTCGACTTCTACTTCTGCTTCTTTACTTAATGATCATGAAAAAAATGGCAATCAAGATCCTTTACCTGCTTATAAACTTACTGATGATCATTTGGTTCAAACCAATCCTACTTGATGTTTAACTTCTTTTCGGGTTCTTCAATTTTCGATTTTCTCAAGATTTATTTCACTTTTTGATTTATTTCATACTTATACTTTGAATGGACACTTTATGAATCTATCCTGATTTGATTTCGTAGAATCATTATGACCTCTATTTAAAATCTATTATCACGAAGTTATAATCACTTGAAAGAATTCCTTATAAGTATTGAGCAAGACGGTGATTTTCGAGCCCGAAGTTGATAGTCTTAGCGAACCTGTTTTACAAAGAATGTCATGTTGTAGCTACGCGTAATGTGCGAATCTCTGCGAACAACAGCTCCCAATAGATTTTTATCAGATGCCAAGTACAAACTTTACATCAGCCCGAATTATGTACCCCGCAGACATGAGATTCTATATATAATTCTGAATCTTGTCAAAGGTTGAACTTGCACCCCTGGTGTTGAAAATGAACTTGTTGAACTGTGTTAAATCGCTTCAATCAAAGACGTGTTCCTGGGGTCTTGAAAGGACTTTGAACAGTTCAAGATGAGTTGGTCAGAAGTTTGATTCACTGACTATCGCACTGAGCTGCCTACATATACTTAGTCCCATGAGTATCATTAAGGGTGACTCAGTGTTTCATCGGAACATCACACCAATCATACTGGTCTCATAAGTATCATTGATGGCAATCAAGTGTTTGATCCTCTGTCTGGCTTGTGGCAATTATGAAGGAAAAATGAGTTTCATCGATGTCGACGAGCCAGTCCTTCCGCTTGACTTCCGCCTCAACTACAAGATCACAGCCTTTCTCATCGCATGTTGTGTTAAGCTCTGGAACAAGTTCCTTGATTGCTAAGATTTTTCTATTTTTTAAACTTATCTTGTCAATCACTTTTTTTGGCAATCACTTTTTTCACCAATCAATTAGCAACTGAATACTAGCTTTGGCTTAGATCACGTCCTTACATTTTCTTCCAATCCTTCTTTTCAAAAAATATTGTTCTTGATTTGTCAGTCTTGTAGAATTTTGTACCATTTGCCCGAGCCTTTAATTCTTTCTACTTCTGCCTTCTCACACTTCCAATCTCTCTCATTCCCTGGCCAGATACAATCATTATTATCGTTCTTTTCCGCTTATCTCTAAGTATATACACCCGCCGGCTTTCAAGATCACAATTCTAGTAACCCGTACCTCTTGGAAGTAAAGGACTTGTGGAACAAATCATTAGTATCAACCCATGCACGATGAGAAACCCACCGTATTCACATATCAAATGGATAATCCTTGTATGGGTCATTGTCAATTTGAAAGTCTTTGTTATAGGACGCCCCGCAATGGGAGCGGGCAAGTATATGCAGGATCTTGAATATGTTAAAGGTGTTGGAACTGCTGGGAATGCAAACAAGAGTGTGTAGAACATTTTTTTCAATCCACCTGTTTTTGATTATTGGCTTATCTTCCGTGTGATTCGCGCTGGAAAGTTTCAACAGGCTCTTTAGATGTCAAAGTAGCTCACGGTCCATCGCTTCCAAAACCAGATGGTAATGAAGTTTCTGTGAAATATGCCTGTATGATGCAATGGTATAGCTTACATAAATTTTACGACCTTGATAATTTGTAGACCTGCGACCCTCCGTGGATTTGGGCCCTTCAAAAAGTGGCTCTGGCGCTGTAGAGATAGCAGGCAGCATGAGAAAAGGTCGTGTACCGCATACCCCCAACACACTTCAAACAGGCTCTAAAGATCTCCAAGTAGCCCACGACTTCTTGTCTACAAAACCAGATGGTAATGAAGCTCTCAATAAAGTCCCTCCTTTCTCTGATCTTATAGCTCAAATCACACGACTCTGTGGCTTTCTAGGTCTTCAAACATCAATGTTTTACCTCCGTCCCCAAATTGGCTCCTGGTTTGCCAAAATAAGAGGATTCATGCGCAAGTTTTGGGGAGCAGATCCCAGTCTTGCAGAAGCTCCCCACGCAAGTTTCAAATTCGAGGAAACTCGCGGTTTGGCTGAAAAGGAAATAAGGGAAGATCTCCTCAGATTTACTCCTACTGCAAGGGCCGAAAAGGCAGCTCCCTTGGTTCCTGAATTAGATGAAGCTTTCAAGAATCAAAACATAATGCTGTTCAGAGGGCAGATGGAAGATATCAAACCAGTAGAAGTAGCAAAACTTTCACCTGATAGACTTATCAGATACGCAGCAGATAGGAATGAAGATGTGGAAGGTATGGCCAGAAATTTATACAAGGCCTCAGAGAAATACACCCAGGCTGAACAAAAGGCTTTTTACAAGGCTTCTTTGGGTTATAGCCAAGTGATAGACCCTTCATTGATCTTGAATAAGAAGGCTTCGGCCAAAAAATTCGAGGAGACCAAAAAGATGATTCAGGATATAGTACAGCAGAAGATGAAAGAGTCCAACATCAAAGGAATATCAGAGAACGATATGACCATGTCTATCCGCGAATCATTCATCAACAAAATTGCAGTCTTGTACCCTGAGGTTGAGAAAGGACTGCAGGAACTGAAGAAAGCTAAAGCAGCTTATGAACAAGTGTATGCCGGTACCTATCAGGCTGCTTATCAACTAAGCAATGCTGATACACTCGAACCACAAGCCTTCACTCAGCTTACCGATAAACAATATGTGGAAAAGGCCGCATTCTATGATATAAAGGCATATCAAAGATATGCTCAATGGTCTGATGCTGAAAAACGATTAGATGACGTTTTATACGACCAAGAGTTAGTTGCGACATTGGAGAGAAAGTTTGAGACAGCTACGCAGGATAAGGAGATCAACAAAATTGCAGACCAATTGAAAGAGGATTTAAAAGCTAAAGGAAAACCGATTGATGGGAAAACTGTGCATGCAGTAGCTAGAAGTAAATTCATCAAAAAACAAGCATCTCTTGATCCATTTTTGCGGCAGTATGTGTCTCGAATCAAGAGTACAGAAAAACAAGTTGAAAACACCAAGAATGCTGCTTTGAGAGGTGCTGATAGATATTACAAAAGTCATAAGCTTTTGAAATCCGCAGGTAAGAATGTCCATTTCCACCAAGTTTTTTTTCCAAATAATTCAAGCTGACTGAGTTTATCATTAAACTTGATATTGGACTCACAAAGCCTTGAGGTATAAGAGTTGGTTCTTCAGGAACATCATTCAAAAGTTTTTTAGTTGGCTTTTCATTGTGTAAAATATGGACAAACAAACAATAAATGAATGTATTCAAAGTAGACCAATTGGCAGTACAGATCCTCTCCAAATCAGCTCCAATATAAGACAATACAAAGTGAACACCAAGAGAAAAACCAGAGGTGTCCTCAGATGGCCATAGCCTTAAATGAGGCCCCTATGAGTGTGAATTTCACTGACTCAACCAGATCCAATCTATTCCCTTTATATCTGTCTATATGTGGAGTTGGTGAGCCCAAGGATCAAGGGACTTACATGTGGTTTGGTTTTTCTTGGTCGTAAGCAACTCCACCTTTTGGTGATGAGATGGATCAAATTGAAACTTTGGGCCCTTGATTAGAACATCACTTGAGATTCAATTTAGCATTGTTCCTAGTTCACCATTGTTCACTTTCCTCAATATCCCCTGCAATGAACAACAGTCCTTGGGCTCAGAAAAAATACTTTCCAAATTTTGGAGCAGAATATTGATGATGTGGTAAGGATTATAGCTTTTGAGTGCAGTGAATCAGTTTCATACAAATGTGGACCAAAAAAAATCACATAGGGAAAGCCATACCTTCAAAGAGTTGACAGCTAGATTCTGAAGGATTAGCATTTTTGTAAATAAAGCAAGTCATACTCAATTGTGGTTGCTTTGATGAAAATGTCTTGACATCTTGACAGCAGTTTAACCATTGTAGGACAAGATGAGCAGAAGTGCAATTTACATACCTGTGATATCATTGTGGCAAGGGGGGGCTGCCGTGCTCAGCCCAATTTTCACTCCACTCCAAGCCTACTGATTGTAATTAGAAGGGGGTAATTATACAAAGTATAGACTGTCATAAAAGAATCCGTACACTGTAAAAAGTATACACTATTCCCAAGTGGAACTGGGAAAATGATTATTATTGTAGTTTGTCATCAAAAGATCTATTGCTGCACACCTGAGCCATAACACCCACACTACATATGTGCAACAAGCTGAGTAAATTATTAGCTATCATGTACATATAGGTCTGCTCATGCACTGACTCATAGTGTTGGTGTAATTCCATTAACTAAACCTCATGTAACACCCTTTCCGTTACGGTTGAATGGCTTTCAGAGTATTACATGAGTAGCTATGGAAGTATATGTAGTCAATTTTCAGGACTGTTTTATCAAACTGGAAAAAGTTACATGATGTATCACATGTGGTTTACTTCTTCAGATGAGCAGGGAACTGAGCAGACCTGTATGTACGTGATAGCTAATAGTTTACTCAGCTTGTTGCACATATGTAGTGTGGGTGTTATGGCTCAGGTGTACAGCAAACTACAATAATTATCATTATTTTGCCAGTTTCACTTGGGGATATGGTGGGTAGTGCCTGAACGTGTGAAATCAGGTAATTTGAGAAAAAAGTTTATAAAACCCACATAATTGATCCAGTGTTGAAACCAAGGGCAGATTTGGAATCCTCACATCAATAGCAATCCAAAATTGTATTGAACATATTGTTTTCAACAATTTTTACGGTAGAGAAAGTTCTTTTCATACAATGCAGTTCTTGATAAATCAGCTTCTTAGCCGGCCAGTAATTACACACTTTTAGACACTACCCACTATAGTGTATAATTTTTGAAGTGATCACTGCACACCTAAGCCAAAACACCCACACTACATATGTGCAGCAAGCTAAGTAAATAGTTGCCTAACTTGTACATACCACCCACTTTGGCAAAGAAAGTTGCACTAATAATTTGATGCGACTTTTACATCACGGTGAGAAATTTTCTCATTGTGTGTGTATGTATAAAAACACACAACACTCCACTTTTTGGAAACGTTTGGTAAACAGATACGACATGATATGTGATCAGAATTCAGCATTATTGAGATCAATAACACCTTTCACTGACTGGTAAACAAGGTCATCGACTTTGATGATGGCCAAAGCAGTTGAATGGTCTTAACGTCACCCTATTGCTTGCCCTTCAACACCACAACATCATTGCTTTTTGAGTTGAATTATTCAAACCCAAGAGACTCATGCAATTTTCCCATTTCAATCATTTTCCAGGAACTTTAAAGCTTTTTTGTATCGTTTATCATGTATTGCATCAGAAACAAAACATCTTTAAAAGTGACCATTTCAAATCAGATCAATAATATGTAATAAGCGAGAGACAAATACAATCCAACACTCAAATGATTGGATACCACTCGAGGAGTTGAGATAAAAGAAATGATTTGTGATTTGAAGGAAAACAAGGAACTTGGGATCAATAAAAGAAGGTTGTTAGTAAGTTGGAATGAGAATATTGATTGTTCCAATAGACAAAATAATGGCCATATCAAGATTGAAAAGGTGATGTCAAGATCGAGGTTGTTTAGAGGATCCATTATTTGAAGTGAATGGAGTTCAGGGATTAAGAAGTTGATTTACACAATTTTTGCACATATGTGCAAAGATGCGTGTGCGTCTTCCATTGCATTTTGGTTTACTGAATTGGTTTTTTGGGTCACATATGCGACCAAAAATCAGTGCAACTTTTTGGTGGTGCGCAGTTGGTTGCACACGTCACACAACGGTTACTGAAGTGGGTGTACAGTTCTACTCAATTGTCTACTCATCTGAAGAAATAAATTACATGTGATGCATCATGTAACTTTTTTGAATTTGCCAAAAATGTCCCAAAAATTCACTACATACACAGTCAATTTTGCAAAGCTTGATCAAGGTTTGCCCACAAAATTCCAGTGTTTTTGGTGTGAAATACTTGTCAAGCTTTGTGAGATTGACTTTGTCTCCATAGCTACTCAGGCAATATTCTCAAATACACTTGCCAGTAATAGAAAGGATGTTAGATGAAGTTTAGAGCATCCACAGCGGACTTTTCAAATGTTAAATTTGAAGGTGAAATCATCAAATTTGCCGCAGCGGACTTTTCAATGTTTGATTTTTTCACTTTTCAAATGTTTGAACTTGATCTTCAAATTTGACGGTCAGGTCAAGAATTTGGAAAGTAAATAAATCATGTGGAGGCCTGCACGTACACAGCTTACTGTGTAGATTTCTTGGCCAAGTCACCTCTATTCCCATCCACAGTTTCAAAATTGTTTGATATCCTCAAAAACAAGTTTGCAAAACACATTGTACAAATTTAGAGACTTTGATTGTTAATGTAGATGATGATGTTGTACATGCCAATTGGACTTGATAACATCCACTTTGGGATGTATCAAGCCTCATTGATCAACCTACACAAATTGAAGGGTGTGACTGAACCTTAAGTATTGGCCTATATCCATATAGTGTCAATGTAAAATTCACTGCACTACTTGAAGACTATTTTACGGGTTATTGGGCCTCATTGATCACTTTCAAAGTGGCTTCTGAGTGTGATGACACAGTTGTTTGAATTGCTTCAACCTTGCTTGAAGCATGTTTGTACAGAATATGAAAGTTCAAAAATGGACAGTCCACTGTGGACACCAAGATTTGAAGGAAAAACTGAACCTTACAGCCAACTGTCCAAAAGTCAAAATTTTCAAATTTATGAAAATTCCACTGTGGATGCTCTGAGTTGATGAAATTACACCAAAACTTTGAGTCAGTGCACAGTGTCAATTTTTGTAATGCTTTTGTCCAGCTGAATAAAGTTACAACATGTATTACATATGATTCAGCTATCCAGATGATCAAAGAACTGGCCACATCTGTATGTACATGATAGCCGCCTGCTCACTCAGCCTGCTGCACATATGTAATGTGGGTGTTATGGCTCAGGTGTGCAGTGATAGATCTTTTTATGAGAAATTGAACTCGTAATCTTTATCCCCTCCCCACTTGGGGAAGCTCAATGATGTTCACAGCAACCCTGGGCCAGCAATGCAGGTTTTGCATGCTGTGCTGCGCTTGCCGCGCAGCTTTTATGACCGCACTGCACCAAAAAATCCATTTTGAGGTTGCGGCCTGACCCACTGCGCAACAAGATGTGTCAAATCAACAGTTTTTTGGGCTGCAACAACATTTCTTGTGTTGTTGCTGGCACAGGGTTGTTCACAGTGATCTGTCAACACAACATCACACAGTATGCTCATTGGTTGTAGCATCACAGATTCATGGCAGTGATCATGCTTAAGAGTTTCATTGAGATGAAAAGAGGAGTGAGGATCCAGTTCTTTCACTTCTCATGAGCAGAACCCTTCTCATCGTATGTGTATTTGTGCTCCTGATCAACTTTCTTAATTCCATTGTACAAAATTTACATCCGCCCCAGAGACATTGCAGACCTGATGTTCTATGTATATTTCTGACTCTTGTTGAAGGTTGCACCCCTGTGGTGTTGGAAATGGACTTATTGAACTGTGTCCAAATTACTTCAATCAAAGGTGTGTTCCTACTGTTCTTATATTCACCAGAATACATGCTTCATTTCAATTATTCAACCTCTGTTGGATTTTATATTTGAAAGATTGAAGTTTTCATCACACAGTCACCAGATGTTTTCCTACAGGAGTTTCCCTGGTACTGACAGCTGTAAACGTATAAGCCAACAAGGGTTATACAGAGCATGAAGGGTACAGTCTGCAAGTAATGACTATACAGAAAGGGTCTAAAGACTGCCTTCCTAAAACAAGACAATCAGAAAAGAAAACTTCTGTTGAATTGAGTACTGATAAGGCACCAGAGAAAAGTATCTTAAATGGTCCAAAACCACACAGATTTGAACTCAAAAAGCACCATTTGAGTTCTTTCAACACTGCCATAGTGTTATTCCAATATGATAACTAAGAAAATAAAGCAATATCTTTTTGATCTCATTCCCAATGAGCCTTTTTGACTATAACACTAAAATAAATTTCTCTTTATAATTGTAATAAAGGGCATATTTAAGTGACCAGGTACTGCTAAAATAGGTTATGATGATAAACAAGACGATAAATGTGTAGATAATAAAGAAAAAGGTGGAACAACAATCCCGAAATCATCCATGAGTATATATATTGATGTTTTACAACTCTTTGGTC